TGTGGCAGCACACAGCCTTAATCCTAGCACTTGGGGAGCCTGAAGCAGGAGGATCACCACAAATTTGAGGCCAGTCTGAACCACACAGTGAGTTCAAGACCAGTCTGAATGACATGAGACCTTTCTCAAAAATAAAATAAATGTTGTTAAATTCAGAGAAGCAACCATCCTCCACAGTCAGCTGAAGGAAACCTGGAATGTACACACTGCTGGGAATAGAGGCTGGGAACTCAGTCCTCTCCTCCCCGAACTTCCTGTCCCTGCCCCAACCCAGTAACCCACCACAGGCACTGGACCCTCTGAGCTGTGCATTCTTCTACACACTTTACAGCAAGAAGTGAGAACTTCCCTTTCTTTTTGCCCTAGGTGGATACAAACCTAAGTTACAATTTTGACTATCATTATTAACATGATAGAATACCAAATGTATTTCAGAAAAATCTCAGCTTTAAAAAAATAAGTTGGACTTTCTATATTCGCTAAAATAGAAAACATTTCTTTAAATTAATTTTTGCTAAAGACTAATGTAAGTTCAACTATAAAGAGTTTCTATTCTGTTAGAAATAACAAAATGAGAGCCAGGGATTTAGCTCAGTGGTGCCACCGCCTGCCTCGAAAGCGCAAGGTCCTGAGTTCGATCCTTGGTGCCAGAAAAAAACAAAACTGTTGTGTGTCAAAAGAGCAGTAGTTCCAAAGTCATATACTCAGAATCACATCTCTATATACAATTCAAAATTTATTCAGTCTTTACTGGTCTAGGGGCTAGTCTCAAGCATTAATATAAAAATTTCCTTGCTACGGTGAACACTATACTACCAAGGGTAATATTCACTCATGGAAAGAACCAATTACAACACAAGGAGAAGTGCGCTTTGTCACAGAGGTTCTGTGGAAGTATAAGGAAGAGGTTATCACACCAGTGTCTTGCAAAGTATGTGGCCCATGACAATGCATACTTGATCATGTTCTAGTGAATGGTCTGCCTGTACCTCTTCCTCCCCTTGGACTACACAAGTCCAGGGCTCCCTAACCCCCATCCCAAATTAGCCAAGCCCTGAACGACCAGTAGAGCCAAGATTAGCAAAGGGAATTGTCTCTAGATTTTCAGTAGATGGCAATGCTACTGTATTATTTACTTGGTGTATTTACAAACTGAAGCAAAATTTGCCTGTGGCATCTTCCAGCCTGAGGCTGCCATATATATAGCTGGCACTTTGTATTTATTGATGTTTACCTTATAAAACACCAGGAATAAGGAAAGAAAATAGGAGAAAGAACCTACAGTTCCTACTTGTAAACTTCAGTCAGCATCAGGGATATACCATGGGTAGCTAGTTCTAGAAATAACCCCTCTGGAGGGCTTTCCAGCTCCTGGAAGAAGGGAGTCCAAAGAAACGGCCCTTTCAGCAATCCTGCCACTCTCCAAATAGTAAGGGTTATTCTAAGAATCCTAGTTTAAAGCAGAACCAAGTATGTATATGGTATGTGAATGGTATGCTTCAAGGGACCTTCCGTCTCCTGGCTTACTGTGGATTCCAACAGGAAACTGAAGGTCACAACTACCCAGGGTTAGGAAGCCGGAGAGGAGTTGAGGCGCTGAAGGCTGTAATTCAGCCCAACTGTACCTCCTCAGCACATTATGCTACACTCTACAATTACGGGATTCTCCATGTTTCTTGGAGTGGGCTTCAAGATCTTAAAAGCAAAGCCAGTCCAGGCCAGGATATTCTGCCACCAAGTCTGCCAGTTCTAAGACAACAGTAGTGCTGCTGCAGCCAATGATTCCTTGGCATCCAGACATGTTAAAATGATTCTGGCAGCAGCACCAGCTCTTCTCTTTCACCCTCTGCTGTTACTATAGCTCCTTTTGCTAAATCTGCCTCTGAGTTTAGACAGGAGCTGGATGGTTTATAATCACTCAGCAGCTGCAGCTGAGCAATACTCCGCCTAATTGTGGCACTGGAGCAGCTGAGAGGAAGAGAAAATACACACCCTACCATAGCCATATGCATTGTACATACCTACTGCCCCCCACACTACCAATGAAATACCGTACTAGCATACTTTAACAGATGATTTCCTTTACAGAAAACCAGCCACTGTTCATGAGAAGATTAGTATTTGTATTATAAACCTGTTTAAATGTGAACTGAAGGTGACCTAAGCCATGTAAGGGTTCTGAACAATGACTCACTAAACTTCCTGTAAATATTCACACTACAAAGCCAGAATCACAAACATCACCTTTCTAACATGACAAAGTTCCTGTGATGTAAGATTTTGGCACAGATGTGATCTCTTCTTCAACTCTATGTTACAACAATGCAAAGCAACATCCATTAAACAGCGAGCCACTGCCTAAAGCAAGTAAAGGCAATGATTTTCCACATCTCTGCAACCCCAATACCACATTGTCATTTGCTTTTTTCTGAAACAAAACCGTATTTTTCTTTCAGGGTGTTACAGATCTGCAAAAAAACTTATTTTACCTGAGAATTTCATGACATCCTTAAGAATATCAAAACTAAGGCTGAAATTACTGATCTAAAGTTTTCTAAACTGAAATAGAATAGATTTAAATTTGATGCCATAAAGTTTTGAGTTTTGTCATGTTACTTAATTTTCTGAAAGATGGGGTAGTTGCTGACAGGACAGTACTTACTCATTCAATTAACATTTTGATTACCTAATGTTAGTCACACTATTTAAAATTAGTAAAACCTAGTGTCTTCCCTCAAAATAGTAAAGTAATTAACATACTAAAGAGAGAACTTTATCATAAATATTTTTTTCAAAATGCTCTGATTGTTCATTGTTCATTTAGAAGTCAGCATGTAGTATTTTCAAGGCTTTTCTACACACTCTCGGGTCTACGGACATTACTGATTCTAGTCCGGTTTGCAAAGGAGTGCCCAGTTCCAGTCTGTCATCAAATGTGAAGTTCTTAACACAGGTATCTAACAGACTACATTACACACAGACTTTTTAAAGAAAAGTTTTATGTAAAATAAAATAGATATATAAAAGTAGCTGAAACAAATATGTTTTAGTGACTTATACTACAACCACTACCAGGTTAAAACAATTTTGTACTGCTTCAGAAGGCAAATCCCAGGCACAGCCTCGTCCCTCCCCCAAGATCTTTACTTTCATTGAAATCAGTTCTTCACAGGTTTTTTTAAAAAAATATGGTTTTATCACCCAAGCATTCCTAGCCTTTCATACGATGCTAGTAAAACTAATAAATTATGTCCACACTGAACTGACTCACTAGACTGAGAACTAAATATATTTGTAAGGAAAAATTACTCATAGTAATAAACTACTGCTTAAAATAATGCGAATGTGAAATTTTAATAAACATGTCTTACACCAGGGGTTGGAATATTTCATTTATACTGGGTCACTGCTATCTTTTTAGCATATTTATTCTTTTACAACTACAAACAATGGAAGTTTATTTGCATAGACATTGATTTTTCAGCTTAAGAATTTCTTGAACTAAAAAAAAATATATATGACCATGTATTAATACCATACTCTGACCATAAGACAAATTCCACCTATCCCTGGAAGATAGGTCAAAGCTGTAATTTCACTTTCGGCTGAACAGAAAGGAGTCAATTTTGTGGTTTATGAAGTCAGCAAAAACTGCAAAACTAAAGCTATTATAACATTATGGTGGTTATAGCAGAGCACATATTTTAAGGGTCCTTTTATCTTTTATCCCGAAAAAGTGGATATGAACAGTCTTGTACTTACATTTAGATTATTGTACTTACATTTAGATTATTTTTTTTTCAAATTAAGTATTCCATAATCTGCCAAATACCATTCAAATTCTTTATTGAGGTTTAGGCAGTGTCCAAAAATTAAGATACAATTAAATGTCAACATGGCAGGGGTCTCATACATTTGTGAGGAAACAATGGCCTTGGTGAGACACTTTCTTACAGTATTATATGTGATGCAGCAAAGATCCATGGCTTCTAACCCGACACACTTTTATTACCCGTCCCTCAAAATGCTTCCTGCCCACTGTACCGCAAACACCACGCTAGTGAAGATAGTGAAAATAGCGCCCACTTTGCCTTCAATGCATAGGCACCCGTACACATTTAATAGTATTTGCCCTGGCACGTAATTTAACCTTAGAAACTTAGCCGAATGGCTTATCACATTCAGAATCACCAAGGTTCTTCTGGTGCGGCAATCCTACGGTCACAATGCACCAACACAGGGACGACCGTGTCACACAGAAGCGAAATCGCCGCTACGAAAACACCAGTTGGACAAGGACACGCGCCAAACGGCACGGATGTAAAGCTGCGATTCAATGAGACTTCCTATTTACTTTAATAGCATACCACCGTCCCATGCCTGCTTAAACTCGCTATGCAGAAAACAATTCAAGCAAATCCGGACTACAGAGATACAAACTAAAGCAGTCTCACCGTACCAGTCATGATTTTCCAAGAGCTTCCTAAAACAACTCTGCCCCGTGCCTAACACAGCCAAAGCTGGAAGCAATTATCAGGAAGAAAAACACACTTGGGAACAAGATTTTCTTTAACCCGGGTGGACGGGGACCCGAGGCCGACGGCAGGCGCCGGGTCACTGAACTGTCCGAGAGGACGCGACGCGTGTTTCCCAGCCCCCAGCCCAAAACAAAGGAAAACTTTAAACACGTTGCGGTTTTCAATCACACCCAGGGCGGCCGCGGGTTCGCAAGCCCCCAGCCCCGGCCGCTCCCCCAGCACAGCTGCGGCCGGCGGCACGCACGCGGGCAGCCCCCGGACCCCGGCCGCTCCCGGACTTGCGCGGACCGCGGCGGGCCGGGGGCGCGCAGGTAGCGCAGGCGGCAGCCACGCCCGTGGGAGCCGGGCCGGGGGAGGGGAAAGTTTCTCCGCAACTTCCCGACGCCCGACGGGATCGCGGGCGCCTCCGGGCGCGGCGGGCGCCGGGGCCTAGCGCTGCGCGGGCCGGGGTCCGGTCCTTACCTGCGCTCCGGCCACGCTCGCCCGAGTCGCAGCGGCCGCGGCTCCGGCTGACGGGAGGCGGTGGCGGGCTGAAGTGACGCCCGCGGGGCCCGTTCGCTCCTCCACCTCTGGAGCGGGCGGGCGGCTGCGACGACGGCCGGCCGGCCGGGACGCGTTCCTCGAGGAGGCGGGAGTTCCCGGCCCCCACCCCTCGCCTCCGCTCCAGCCCGCTCTCCCCGCCCCCTCCGGGCCCGCCTCTCCGCTGGGCGCCCGCGGGCGGGGGCTGCGCTACCTGCGCGCGTCCCCGCTCACCGGAACTCGCGCGGCCCCTGCGCCTTCCGGCGTCGGGGCTGCCCGGGGCCGCCCTGCCTCTGCGGCTCGGGTTCGGCCCGAGTCCAGGTCACAGCTGCCGGCCCAACATGGCGGCGTGGCCCGGGGCGGGCTCGCGATGGGCGCGCCGACCCCGCCCTCCGCGGGCCGAGGGCTCCGGGGCTTTGTTTTCGCGGGGAGGGCCGGGTCAAGCCTCGCGGGCGGGCCGGCCGTGCGACTCTCCGTGCTCGGCCTCCGCACGCTCGGTCGTGGAGGAAGCGAAATCTCAGTCCCGTCGCTCGCACCCTCCCTGCAGTCACGGGCGTCCGCGCCCGGCGTCCTTGCGAGGCCGCGATCCTGGCTTTCCCCGGAGCTTCCTGTTGACTGTAGGTCGAACCAGCCTTGCCGGGAGGGGAACCAAGCGGAGTTGTGTTGGCGGCTGTCCCGCTCGGGATTGGCTTTGGCTTGTCTTGAGCCAGTACGTTCTTACAGGATGCTGGTGACACCCCAGGGACCTTGCTTGACAGCTGGGGAAACTGAGGCTGGGGCTTCGAAGGGGAGCAGCCACACGAGAATCGTGTTGGTCTACACCTGGGCACCTTCGAGTTGGGCTTGCAGAAGAGAGAGGGTCGGGAGGTCTGGGGCCAGAGTGAGAACGTGGACTCACTTTAAGGCCCTTCTGCCAAAGCCACTTCTGCCTTATCAGACTCGTAATTTCCCCTTTGTGTTTCCTGTTTGATGGGGTTATCAGAATTTTTAATATGGGACTTTTGGTTTCCTTTGTGGTTTTTAGCGAAATTGAGAATAATCTTCAACAAATACAAAATAGCACAATCATCTGTGTGAGGATTCTGCATTTCTAGGAACTTAAGGAAATGCATGTAAGGGTTTGAAAAGATGTTCTTCAACTCATTAACTGAACCAGAGCTAGGCACACCGTCCATGTTAACAAAAAGGTGCGCGTGATGTGTCAGATACTTTATTTAGCTACTAAAACTTCATTTGTCATTATCTGTCTTGAGCATTAAATTTTGTTGTCGTACATACATAATTCAGTTTTTCTTAAAACCAGAAAATAAATTCCTTGCGCTGTTGCCTAAGATTCTAAATAATGCACAGTAAGATTTTTTTTTTTTTTTTTTGTACTGGGGATTGAATTTGGGTCCTTGCGCTTTCGGGGCAGGCAGCAGCACCACTGAGCTAAATCTCTGGCCCTTAAGATTCTAAATAAAATAAAGATTTTTGTCTTCCTAAACTCAGTCTCAAATCAAATCTCCAGTGCCAATTTACCCTTTTACTTGTTGAATTTGCTTTTCTTAACCCTCTTGGTTTTGTTTTGTTTTGTTTTTTTAATTATTTCCATCCCTATTTCCTGTTTTAGAATATTCATTTTCCACTGACAGGCTTCAATCTGTAAATAACCAGAAAGTTTTCAATCTTACACTTAATGGTTCACTTATTTCCAAAGGATGAGTTTAGAGATATTTTTTTAAAAAGATCAAAATACAAAGTCTCATTGAGCCTGGTGTAATAGAAATTACTTCCAACTGAAAATAAGTTTGTCAATTGAAGGAGTGAAGAAACTTGGCCCTGTGTGTTGTTCTGCGCAGTATGGAGGTCTGCTCCTGGAGTGAGAGTAATGGAGGACCTGTCTTCAAACCCTTAGGAAAGTTTACTTGATAACAAAGAGAAAGCTTTAAACAATTTATGAGCTATGTTGGGTCCCTAGAAAAGTGAAGTGTTTTCATTTAAGTTTAGTAATGTTTAAAATTATTTGACTGGAAGTTGAGCCAGTGCCCACTCCATCACCCTGGGAACTGTGATTCTACCAGGAAATGTTTTTGTCGGGTAAACTTTTCCTACTTGCTGCCAGGGAGGGATCAGCTGTTGTTGCTTCTTGCCAGGGCTGTTATCACGCCCTTCTCCCTGGTGACAGTGGAAAGCCAGTGGCCAGCTCCCAACCACCCTGGCTAGCACCCCTTTCGTGCCACCTTTCCCCCCTGAGGGAGGCCGCTGGGTACTGGATGTCATTGGCACCACCTTGGCTCTGCAGATCCACCCAGCCCTTACTGCTGCTGGGTCCACTTAGGAAGAATATGAGGCTCTCTCTAGGCAAAGATCTGGAGGTTCAGCCCACAGGACGGATTCCTCCTGGATCTCAGCGAAGCAGGGAAGTCATTCATCAATTTCTAGAAGGTTGGTGTCTCTATGGCCTCGAGGGTTATGGCTCTTACTTCCCCTCAACTGGGTAAGGGTTGCCTAACAACCAGATCGGTAGATGTATAAAGATGTACTGTGATGAACAGATGTTGATGAAACATCTTAAAATTCACAGAACTCAACTCAACATCTTTTTTTTTAAGAATAGGAAAAATTTATTGAAAGGTAGCTTCTAAGAGAGACAGAAAGGGGACCAGAAAGTGGGGTGCCTGCCCAGCCCGCATCTCAGAGGTGTTTTATGGGACAAAGCCACGAGGTGAGGTGGGTACAAAGTGGGACAAAACTGTAAGACCCAATGGAAAATTACAAGGTGGGCACGATCAGTAAGATGACAGGTACAGTCGCCCAGGTGATATTGATTAAATGGAGATCAAATGGGGAAGCTAGTCAAGTAGCAGGCACAAGTTCTTAGCACGCACTTCGTAAATCTACCCCGTCTCCTTGTTTTCCTCTGTTGCTTTCTCTGGCCTTTAACTGTGTTGCTACCTACTGTATAGTCAGACTTGCTTGCTGTGCCTCCCCAGCTCCAGGATTATTTTTTTTGGTATCGGGGATCGAACTCAGGGCCTTGCGCTTGCGTAGCAGGCGGCAAAACCACTGAGCTAAATCCCCGGCTCATCCATCCAGGATCATTTCTAGCAATCTAGTCTTCACTTGGCATCTCCTTTGAGATCTTCTCTTGGTTTCTTCTCTGACTTCAGTTCTGTGTGTTTTCATTTGAACCTAGTCCCATTATGTCCACTAAAATTCCTGGTTTCAGCCCAGCTTCCTGCTATCCACTGTGCCTATTCCTAGGGAGGCTTCCACAGCTCCAAACTTGCATGCTCCAAATTGGTTCTTCACTCTGCTGTCTGACAGCAGTTTCTAAACTGGATGGCACTTTGTGTCCTCTAACGTGTCCTCTGCCAAGCAGTACAGCAAGTACAAGACACCTTTTGAGGCTCTCTAATTTTTCTGTTCTTTTCTGATAATCCTCTATGAATACCTGGAATGTAGGCCTTTGACCTGAATAATCTTGAGGTTTAGCCTGGAATTTTGAATATTGAGGGAGTGACATAAAGGTGATTCAGATTAGTCATGGTGGAATTGAAAGACCAATGCCAGAAGGTGAGTGCCCAGGGGTGGCGCAGTAGGTGACAAAGCCAGCATCCTAAACAAACCATCCTCAACAGGACCGGAACCCTGCTTATCTTTCTTGCTTCCTGTCTGAGCCTGCTCCTTTAATCTTCCTATCTATTCTCCGAACTTCCTCCAATAAGTTACTGCTTAAAGTAAATAGGGATCGTTTCTATTTTTTGCAAATAAGGACCACAACTTAGTCTCTGCTCCTTGTACTGTGAGAGTCAACCCAGGCACTGGGTGTGCAGTGTCCGCTGTGCAGAGTGGGGGTGGAGGAGATGAGGGAACTCGTTTTCACAGAGCAGGGTGTAGCAGATGTAAGACAGAGTGGATGTAGGAGATCGTAGGACCCCAACCGTAAAACTCACATGTGAGACACAAACCCTAGAAGAGAGCTGATGAGTCAGTCTGTCCTGTGGCCTATCTGGCAGTCACGGTGTCTAAGGCGATGGCATAGAAACATTTTCTCCTAGGGTATTAACTCCATTCTCAGAGTCCCTCAACACAGTTCAGGTAGCAGTCACCCCAAGTCTGGAGTTAGATTATGCTAAAACCGTTCAATATGTCTGCCCTATAGGCTGGCAGTTTCTTCCCGTGCATTTGCATTTCCTCAGTCATCACCGAGGGCTTGGCCCATCCTTTTCTGGTGTAAGCTGATGTCTAATCCTAAAATGTGTCCCTGACACTGGGTTTAAATACCACTAAAATTGCTGCCAGATTGCTCCCTCCTGGAAGTCTGCACAAATGGGTTATGAAAAGTAGAGCATAACTTCGCTTGAAGGCAAGAAGTTAAAGTTAGAATGTTTACCTCCATTGATCATTTAGAAAAGAAACTATAAGCCAGTCTCTTATGTTTAAAGTTAACTGACATCTGATCACAAAATGTAGAAGATTGATATTAAGAAACTTTTTATTTTTTAGATGTTTTACAACATGATACTATGCCTGGGGTTTTAAAAAGTGTGTTTAAAATATATCTATGCTTTTTGTTTGTTTTTTGGTACCAGGGATTGAACTCGGGTCCTTGAGCTTGCAAGGCAAGCGATGGAACCACTGAGCTAAATCCCTGGCCCTATATCTATGCTTTTAAAGCTTTGTTTTAATATCCTTTCTAAAGCTAAACCTGGTATTGTTTTTTTGCATTTTTAACTTTACAGATCATTATTTTTCTTTTTTTTGTTCCAGTACTGGGGATCAAACTCAGGACCTTGTGCTTCTGAAGCAGGCACGTTGCCACCGAGCTACATCCCCAGCCCCAGATCATTATTTTTCACATCTGTGTTTGCCCAAACTTTAAACTCTGACTCACTTGATCTTATTATTTGATGTAAACTACAATGCATTTAATCTTTTAGCAAAATATATTTACTCCTCTTTGACTTGTATATGAATAGCTCGAGGTTTTTTGTGGTTTTTTTGGGTACCAGGGATCGAACTCGGGTCCTTGCGCTTGTGCAGCAGGCAGTGAAACCACAGTAGCTCGAGCTTTTGATTACTTGAAATTGCTACTTGTACCAGGTGATGTTCACTAAAGGAACAGATTTAATATAAGCGATAGG